GCACTCATTGTTGCATGTTTTTATGCGCTGTCACAGGAATGTCAGAACTTGAATTAGAGCAATGTATGAATATTAAATTTATTGTTAAACTTGGTAAGAGTGGAAGTAAAATCAGGGACATGTTAGTCCAAATTTAGGGGGATAATGTCATGAAGAAAATGGCAGTGTACAAATGGATGAAATATTTTTCCGAGGGGAGAGAAAGCATCACTGATAAGGAGAGGTCAGGACAGCCAATGACAAGCAGAACTGACAAAAACATTGCAAATTTGTTGAACTGTGGGTCAAAATCATCAGCTAACTGTGAGAAGCATAGCAGACCAAATAAACACTGAAAAAGAAACAGAAAAATCTTAACTGAAAATCTTGGCATGAGAAAGGTGTGTTCAAAAACAGTCCTAAAGGAGCTCTTGTATCACAACAATTCACCAGCTCACACAGCACTGTCTGTGAGGGAGTTTTTAGCCAGTAAAAAAAAAAAAACTGTATTGGAACATCCTCCCTACTCACCTGATCTGGCCCCAATGCCTTTTTTCTTTGCCTAAAGGTAAAAAAAATATTGAAAGGAAGACACTTTTATAACATTCAGGACATCAAGGGTAATATGGGCATTCCAGAAAAGAGTACCAAAACTGCTTTGACGGATGGACTAGGCACTGGTGTCAGTGTATAGCTTCCCAAAGGGAGTACTTCAAAGCCATAGTGATATTCAGCAATGAGGTATGTAGTACTTTCTCTAGGATGAGTTAGCACACACAACTGCCAGACCTTGTACAGATCAATTATGGCCCTGGTTTGAAATACTTTTCCAATTGGTTCTGGGTATCTCTGGCTATACAGGTTTTAGATGATGCTTCATTTTCCACAGCTCCCAGGAATTCAACATAGAGAAATGCTGATCCCAGAGATAAAGAGATAGATTAATTTTGTCTCCTCACGAATGGTAATCAGTGTTATCCAAAAAGCTAATAATAACACATATATTCGCTCATCCTATTGCCCACTGACTTTATGAATGACCCTTTTCTCTGTATTTGACATGTTTTAACCCACCAGAAGCATGAGAGTCTACCAATGAGGACTCTAAGGCAAAGAGAGAGATATCACCAGGAACCAGCCTGCAGACCCTCACTGCCAGACTCACTGTGCTGCCTCAGTGATTTCTTGTCCTGGGAGGAAGCCACAGGAATGGTTTGCTTGAACCCCTGCAAGACGTTTGACAAAGGCTTATGTGTTATGCTTGTGAACCAGATGGAGCAATGTGAAATTGGGCTCTGAGTGTAATACATTACATGGGGAAGTCTCTAAGGGTTTCTTCCTCAACTCTGAGCTTGTCCACAGGTTCATCAGCAGTTGGTGAAGCCACATAAGGATGACTTACCAATCTGCTATTGGGGTCGTAGCTGGATCCCACCACAATTCATACTTACTGAGCACTTACTACGTGCCTGGCACTGCTCAAGGCACTTGGGAAGCACAGGTGAGTGAAAGCCAAGATTGCTGCCCTAGAAAAGTTTATGATCTAGAAGAGGGAGATTACCAAACAATATGCATAATAAACTAGTCGGCTATATAGCATGTTAAAAGATGAGAAGCATCTGAAAGCAGGGCTTTCCCTTAGCGGAGCAGGAGAAGTGGGTGCTGCAAAGGTGGGCAGGTAAAGGTACCAGGTTGTCATCTTAAATAGGATGGTCAGAGTCAGCCTCATTAAGAAGGCTGCAATTAAAAAACAAAACAAGATAAAAAAAGATGACGGAACTGGTTATGTGGATAACAGAGAGAAGAGCGGGAAGGCCAGTACAGCTGAACAGAGGAGGCGAGGAGAGCACAGAGGAGAATGAGGCCAGGAGGAAGACGGCAGAGGCACACACCAGCACCCCCAAGGCAGTACTACAGGGAAGAAGAGACAGTGACAGCATGTCCGCTCTCCTGCTATACTGAATGTCAACTGAAACACAGCCCTATAAAAGCAGGAGGGAGTGACCTAATGACACAGCGAGCCCTGGAATCCCCAAGTGAGGCAGTCTTCATCCGGACTTGACTCAAATATGTGTGCAGGCCTAGGGTAGCACAGCTCAAGTCCTTGGTTTTCAAGGGGTCACAGGGAGTCCTGGCCTTCTGCTTCTTCTTCCCCGGTAGTGCAAAAGAGCACTGCTGTGAAAGGTTTTCCGATATGAACGGTCACTTCCGCCCCATAGACAGATTCCACTAAAGGAAGCATCACTAGCCTTGCAAATAGGACAATCACCACTGAGCAGCTGAGGCTGCGGGCCACCAAGGGCATTGCCATTACTTCACTGCCCCAGGGAATCATTCCTGCTCATATTGGGGAAGGCAAATCCCAACTTATTTTATTTTATTACTGGGGAGCTCTCAAGGCAAAAGTAAGTAGGAAAATGTATTCTGCAGTTCCTGGTTGAGTGGTAGAAATAAATGTGCAGCTTCACTGAGACACAATGGGAAGGCCTCACTTTATATGCATTTGGATTTTGAGCTTCTTGGGAGAAAAGAGCTACAAAGCTGAGGTAGTCATTACTTCTTGGCTTCTAACTGCCCTCTTCAAATGAAAAAGATGCTACTGAAGGAACATGAAATACTACATCTCCTTCCTCCCCTTTGGGGTCTGTCTTTGAACGACAGCCCACATCCTTTTCTCTCTCAGTAACAGACACACCAAGCTTGCTTTCCAGACCACCCCTCTCTGGTTAGGTGACCCTATCTAATCTCTCTTATCTTCTGCTTTCTCATCTGTTAAAACGTGGCTGAAAGCCCTTGCCTTGAAGGTTGCAGTCTGGGTTGCATGTGACACTGTAAGGAAAGAATCCAGCCTGGGAGATCATGAGGCCCCAGTACACGTATCCCCTTCTCTCTGCCCCTCCTCCCCACCCAGCTAGAGAGCAAGTGCCTGGCTCCTGGAGGGGAAATGGCTCCAGCTCTCAGGAAGAAGCAGCTTCTTCCTGGCTCCCACCCCACTTAATCCTACCCCAGAGGCCAGTGCTGCCAGGCCTGCCACATTCTACCATCCCTACGCAGGACTCCACAGTGTCCCTTGACGCAGCTGGGTACTTTCTTCTTCTCCACACCAGTGTCCTTGTCCCTCTGCTTTCTTCCTGAAAGCTCAGTGTCCTTTCTGGGGTCCCATCCACACAGTCTTGTGCTGTCTCCACACTATCAAAAAAAAAAAAAAGTCCTGAAACCTGCTCTCTCTTGACATTCCTGTGCCACCAATTCACTTCAGGGACTGAAGGCTGGGGCAGACAAACAGGATGCCTCTTGGCAGGCACTGTGTATGTGACTGAGAGCTCTCACGGTCACACTGTACACAACTGACAGTGAGTACCGGGCACCTAGCAGGCTGCTGGGAATGATGGAATCCTGGGGCTCAGTACATCTCCCTATGTAGGCATCCTTCAACCCTGCTGCTAGGGCACGAGGTACAAGGCATCCGATGGGAGATGGAAGTGGGAGACAGTGCCCATCAGTTCCCTGGAAGGGACCCTTGCTGGCACACTCCCCTCGGCTTGGCAGAGAAGGTCCAGGACAAAATTGTGCATAAGCGTCCTTCAGGGACATGGCTAGCAGGAGGCACTAGTCTGGTTTTGAGGTGCTGCCTGCCCCTTTCTGCACCCCAAACAGTGGCAGGCAAGGCCCACTTGCAGGTTCCCCTCATTTCTTAAACCAACTCATGCTTAGACAGGAAGCACTCAAGAGGCAGAATCTCATCTCTGGGAGTCCAGGCCAACCGTGCCAGAGGCTTCATTCTGCAGGCCATCCCATACGTACCTGGGTACCTTGATGTTGGTCCCAGCCGAGTTCTTGCTCTGGGAACCTGCCCAGCCCTCCACACTTCCTCCTTGGACTAGATTCTATCCTGAACACCAGTGTATGGACAGCCCTCTCTCAGGCCAACTGCCAGCTAGGTGGCTCCTGTGTCCCATGTCTTTCTAGCTGGCTCCCCCACTTGGGCTCATCCTCTGCTCCAGGATGATGTAGGCTTTGCTCTTCTAGGTTCCCCTGGGGCCAGGGCCTCCCCTGTCTGCTACACAGATGCCATGGGCATGGAAACTGCCCTGCCTCGGAACACTGTGTTCCTCTTGGCAGCCCCTACTCACAAAATGGGCCAAGCCGTGGATCTTCCTGTTTGCAGCATGGTGAAAAAGTATACTCCAGGGATGAAGGAACTTGAATTCAAATCCTTGCTCTGCTACCTAGTAACCAAGCCATTTTGATTACTTAGCTTGACTTGGTGTTATCGCCTATAAACCAGCGATAGGCTCCAGGGACTATGGCAAAGACTAATTGGGATCAAGCGTGTTGGAAGCTCTAGGACCAAATATGTGGGCACTGCACAATAAATGATAAATGTTTAATGGTGCTACTATTACTATCACAATATATTTTTAAAATTTTTGTGGGGATGAGGTCATGTATGTTGCCCAAGCTGGTCTTGAACTCCTGACCTCAAGCAATCCTCTTACCTTGGCCTCCCAAAGTGCTGGAATTACAGGTGTGAGCCATCGTACTCAGTTACTATTACAACATAATCAACTTATTACTTGTTAATTTTCTCAATCTGGTTTAAAAGATTTTAGCCTTCTTCCTTCTCTTTGCAGGGTTGGTAGTCAGATGACATCTCATCACTTCCAAGAAATATGCGTTAATTTCTTTTCTCTGCTGTCCTAAGGTTTTCATGCTAAAACATTAGGTTACTGGTGTCAGTAGTAATTCTGAAGCATCTCCCTACAATCTGTCTGTGAGGGGGACTGAGTGTGGACCCATGCAATGGCATGTGTGAGTGTGTATGCATGTGTGACTATCTGGGGCACACCTGTGCAAATGCCTGTGAGGGTATGTACACGCATGTCTGTGTATATGAACATGTGTGTATATACATGTGTGTGTGCATGTGCGCGTATATGCCAGTATTGAGTGGGAACACTCATGCCCTCCAGCAGAGCCAGAACCACACTGCCCTGGGCCAGCCCTCCGGGCGTTCTTACCTCCATGTTTCTGCAGAAGGTGGCATTGGTGCCAAACAGGATCTGGCACTGCTCGTTGGCACTGTAGTGCATGCCTGGCAGCTTGTGCGGGAGGCGCACAGTGTGCTGGCTCCTGGGATCCGTGACCAGCAAGCAGGTGCTGACTTTTGATCTGAAAGAGCCAAGAGGCACATGGACTTGAAGACGGAATGCCTAGAGAAGGCTGCACCTCCAGATTTTGTATGGGAAAAGGATGCAGGCATAGGACACACAAGCTGTGCATTTTTTCTCTCTGCTCTTTTCCCTCGTGGCCGAATGTAGCTCTCTGCTCTTAGGTAGTGAGAGCCTGGAGACTTGTGAGGAACAGCACCCATGAGGTGATGGAATCTTCTTGGGGAAGATTCTTTGATGACAATGCTTTTGAAACAGATTGTTGTGATATTTTCTTAGAATACTTATGGCTTTGAGCACAAGTTACTGTGAATAATGATACGAATAGAGTTATTTTGCTTTATGTTAAACAAAATCAAGTGCTTATTTTCAACTCTGCAGATTCTCTTCAAGTGCATGTCGGGCTGCAAGTAAATAGGCTGGGCTCAGTGTCTCCTCTTGCGACCACTAAAAGCTGGCCAGTGACACTTGCCAAGGACTTTGGGACTTTACTCGGGATGGGAACATTCATTTACAATGAGAAGTCAGTCTCCAAAAAACTGAGGCAGGGATTGTGAGGCTGTGGCTCTATTAGGAGGTCACATACTTAAATGCTTTTAATCTTCAATTCCTAAAACAAGGCAGATGATTACAAAAAGAAAACCCAGCCACTTGCCAAGATTTCTGTAGGAAAGAGTTGCATGCATGCAAGAAACACACAAGCTGACGCTGGTCCATCTCTCCTGAGCTCAGACACATACCACTTGTCGCCAGTGGGACCAGCACTGTGTGTGTGGACTAATGAAAACACCTCATCTTGTTGCACTGACTCTTCTGGGTAAAATGTAAAGGGGCTCACACATTTTATTAAGGATCTGTGATAACAAATCCTCAGTGGGAAGTAGACTACGTTAAAAGCAGTGAGTTCATTTTAATGAACAGTTTACCACTAAGAGACATCGTCCATGGGCACAGACTCTGACAAAGGTCTGAGACCAGATGGCCGATCCTTCCACAAAAGTCTGAGAAAGGGAAGGTACAGACCACCTCCAGGGGAGAAAGCAAGAGTGAGATAAACACACCCGCCTCCACACATGTGAGGATGGGGAACAAACCCACCCTTCCCCCCAGAAAATTTACTCCCTCTCAAGGAAAGTAGCTTCAGCAATCAGTAAGTGCTTTGTCCTACAGCAGGCAAAGGACAACTTAAAGGTGCCGTCACAATACTGCAGAGCAATGAAATGGAGTTCTTTTCAAGACAGGGTCACTTTGCTGCTATTTGCATCAATTGAAATTACTCAATGATCACTGACTGCATGCCCAACACCATACACTTGGGAAAATGCTTTTGTCAGTTATAGGAGATTCTGCACAGATCACCTCTTCAAGTTAGCTGGGAATTCGAAAAGATAATCATATCTCATATGCTTGCTGAGACCCCAGTGAGTTTGTGTCTTTTGGAAGTACTTTCTACTGTACTGATTATATCGAATGATTCCAGGACTTACTTGAGGAAGTTTTCAAGGTCATCTCGACTGCAGGAGGACCAGGAGAGGTCGCTGGGGTTCCGGCCTTTCACCCACTCGCCTGACATGATGTGGGACCTGCCGGCGCAGGATGAGTGGTCATCGTCGTGGTTCATCCCCAAGCTGTCCAAGGAGAAGGAGAGAGGGACACTTATACTACAAGCTTCTTATTTCCAGTTCCAGGTGTGAGTGTGCCATGCTAACTTAAAGCAAACCACCGCTAGGATCATGCCGAATGGAGAAAAAACTGAAAACTTTTCCACTAAAATCTGGAACAAGACAAGGATGCTCACTTTTACCACTTTTATTCAACACAGTACTGAAAGTCCTAGCCACAGCAATTAGGCAAGAGAAAGTAATAAAGGGCATCCAAATTGGAATGGAAGAAGTAAAATTATTCTTGTTTGCAGACATTATAATTTAGAAAAGCCTAAAGACTCCACAAAGAGCTATTAGAGCTGATGAACAAATTCAGTAAGGTTGTAGGATACAAAAATCAACATATAAAAATCAACAGCACTTATATACATCTACAGCATACAATCTGAAAAAGAAACCAAGAAAATAAATCTATTTACAAAGCACCCACAAATAAAATGAAATATCTAGGAATAAACTTACTAAAGAAGTGAAAGATCTGTATAATTTTTAAAAACTATAAAATATTGATAAAAGAAACTCAAGAGGACACAAAAAAATGGAAAGATCTTCTGTGCTTATGGATTGGAAGAATCAATGTTTTTACAGTGACCATACTACCCAAAGCAATCTACAGATGCAATGCAATGCCTATCAAAATACCCATGACATTCTTCACAGAGACAGAAAAATAATCCCAAAATATATATGGAACCACAAAAGACCCAGAATAACCAAAACAATCTTGAACAAAAAGAAACGAGCTGGAGACATCACATTATCTGATTTCAAATTATACTACAAAGCTATAGTAACCAAACAGTACAGTACTGGCATAAAAGCAGACACACAGACTAACGGAACAGAATAGAGAACACATCTACTTAAACACAAAAGATGTCACAGGATGATACCAGTTCTCACAGTCAAGCATTTATGGAGAAATCAAGAGGGTAATAATTTGCCTACTCCGTGAATGAAGATTGATTAAACAAATAATACACATTAATAACATTTGCTAATAATAAGTGAATGAATTGTATTAACTGTGCTCATTAACCATGACGCCATAGTTCTTAAACTTGAAGCTTCTAATGGTTAGCCTTGCTTTCTCACAGTAAATATCCCAGTGTTAATGGTTCTTAAGTGTTTTTGTTCCTTAGAGGTAAGTCAGTGTTCTAAGGGTTAACAAGAACCATCTAGGACTTTGATTTACAGAATGTCATGGTTCCTGTTTTCAAACTCATGAAAAATAGTGACTTAAAAAAAATCTTTCACATCATTATACCTGCATCCAACAAGATCATAACTGTCATCTTCCCTACCCAACTGAGCCTGAGAGACACCAGGATGCCCATCTAGGCATGGATGGCTGACCACAGACTGTGAGGTGAACAATGCTCTTAGTCTATACACATGCCCTCACCAGGGTAAGCGGAGACACAAAACACACAAGATCTGACGGTCCAAAGTTTGCTGACCTGTGCTTTCCAGAGGAGAGACTCAACGTGCATAGAAACGTCTGTTCTTTCAATAATCCCAGTGGGGGAATTGAAATTTTTAGTAGGTGTTTTCCAAGTGCCAGGTAATGGACTAAAAGGAGAAAATATTAGGGTGCACAAGATGCTACCCCTGACCTCAAACCACCACCAGCTTGTAAAATGAGATGAACAGAGTTGCAGATAACTATAAAAGAGGTTCTAGATGTTTCTCTGAAGCTACTTTTTCCTGGATTGCCCTTTATGTCTCTGATAATTTTTCATAAACTTCCCTACTTGCTGCTTAATGCTGGTGTCTCCCTAGGAGAAGCCCATTTTGTCTTCTCCTCTGCACACCCTTCAGGCCCCTCCTATGTCCTTCCTCACAGAGATGTACCCTTGATCAGACCCCATGTGGAGTCGGATCAACTGAAGCCATCCACATCCTCTGAAGAACACACTTCCTGGTGCTTGTGCACCCTGGATTTCTGGGGTTGCCCCCCCATCACCTGCATATGTCTGCTCCTATCAGTGGAGGAGGCCAATTGTATTCATTCTCAAACCTACTGATGTCAGTGACACTTGTTATATCAATTCATATATGTGGTGACATGTTGGGTTAACCAGTGAAATATGAAGACAAAAGCAAAGTCACTGTTTTCATGAGAACTGATTTAGCTAGTAGCTAAAATAGGTTGCTGTCAAATTGGATGTGGAAAGATGAAAAAAAATCATTAAAAAATCTTCTTCTAGGTTGCTTCACAAGGGTCTTTTCTATTTCTTTATACATATACACCAAGTGTTTTATGTTTCTTTTTATGCACACATATACATATTTTAAACCGCTTTGTGTGAGGAAGGTGACACAGAAGTCCAGGTGGCAGACATACACCCTCAAATAAAAGGTTTTCCCTCGTTAGCACAAAATGATGAAAAAAACTCCTAATATTTCCATAGCTCAATTAAGACAAAATGAAAGCACCTAAGTGTAATTTCTTGATGTTTCTCCACTTGAATCAATTTTTTGGCTAACTGATTAACTGACCAACTGCTATCAATCTGGGATTGTCCCCCCCCCCATCACCCACATTTGTCTGCTCCTATCAGTGGAGGAGGTCAATTGTATTCATTCTCTGATGTCAGTAACTAGCACATAGCAAGCACTTGTAAATATTTATCAAATTGATTTTCTGTTTAATTTTGAAGAAAGCGACAAAAAAGATGAAGAATCCATATTTGTGACAAGTGTATTGGTTTAGTGCAGTGATTGGTTGCTCAGCAGAATAGTGAAAACCATCTCTGGTTAGACTCATGGATCCATCCGAATAAGGTTAAAGAAAAACCAAGGAAATTATCAGAAAAATCTGGCCAAAGACAGTCACTTAGATATATTCGCAGTGGTCACTTTGTTGAATAACGTCTTATTTTCAGTGCAATTACTTAGCTTTTTACTTTTTTGGGGGGTGGGCAACAGAAAATGTTTATTTTTATAGAAGTACACATGAAAGCAATTTCCATTCAGCTTTAATAAATTCTGTTACAAATAAAATAAAATACATTCAGCCTTTGCACACAAAATACATTTTTTTTTTTTTTTTTTGAGTTGGAGTCTCACTCTGTCACCCAGACTGGAGTGCAGTGGCCGCTTCCGGGCACCGCAACCTCGACCTGCTGGGCTCCGGTGA